AGATAAGTGTAGGGAATTATATTGTGACGGTTTTCGGGTAAAAAGCGGTCGGGAATAAACTTTTTGGGATTTGGATAGAAATCTTCCGAGTGATGGATGGCATGAACAGGTATTTCTACAACTTGTCCCTTAAAAACAGTAATCCCAGTGTTTCCCAACTTGTAGTCTTGTGCAGCAATTTTACTTATTTTAACAACAGGTGAATGGAGTCTAAGAGTTTCAGCGATGACTGCATCCAAAAACGGGAGTTTTGTCAACACTTCGTAATCAATCTCTCCGTTTGTGTCCATCGAAGACATCACTTCTTTGTATAGTTTTTGCTGAACGTCTGGATTGAGTGCCAATTCATAGGAACAGAAGGACAGAGTAGTGGCTGTTGTCTCATATCCAGCGATAAACACAATAAATCCCTGCCCTATCATCTCATCCTCTGTTATGAATTTATTTGATTGTTTTATACTTAATATTTTTTTCTCAATTTCTAATTCTTCTTCGCCTAAAAGATAAGAAATAAATATAAACTTTATTTAATATAAATTCAAATTTTATAAACATTAAGCGATTATATTTGTGAAGACAAACCCTGATTGATGTGATGCTCTTCATATCTATCGCTCTCATCATTAATGTTATCCTTTCCTTCTTTTGCTCTCATCATGAGATCAATCAAATCATTGGATTTTGTCTCTGATTTTTCCCTAATTCTCAATATTTGTCGTAAAATTGTAGAGAAAAAATTTACTGACTTTTCATTCAGTAAAGTTTTTAATTTTAATATATTTAATATAAACTGAGGCAACAAAAGCATTGACATTAATTTCAAAACCGGAACTTTAAACACATCCCTTCCGTTCACTACAAATGCATTGTTTGGATCTTTGAAAGCATTGATTTTTGTAGCGAAAGCGCAGTTTGCGATCACATCCATAGTTAGACAGCCGTACATATTCTTAGCATTGATCTCATGTTTGTCTTTTGCGTATTCACTCAATGTATTCATAAACCCCTCCACAGACTGTCTGACCATTGGATACATTTTCCGCATTTTGCCGGAAGTGAATATAGGAGTGGTTATGGATCGGACTCTCTTCCAGTCTTCCCCTTGAAGTTCAGCCAACATTTTCCCCACAATCGGGTGTTCTTTGCTTTTGGAAACTGAATTTCGGTCCGAAAATATATGAAAATCTTTAACAAGAATTTGTTTAATGAGTTTTGGTTCCGCCACTTGTAATAGCGGTGTGTTTCCACTAAATATTCTGTATTTATAATAAAGTTTTTTTTAATTAAAGCAATATACAAATATGTATATTTAATAAAGATTTTTTACCCATAAATGTTTCCATATTTTTGCTGCCATTTTGTTTCCAATTCTGGTACTGGTGTTAAGAAACGCTCCCATAGATTACCAACTATTGGCAATGGTCTAGGTCCCTTCAATCCAAGTTTGGTAAAATAATTAAAGTTCCTGGTCAAATACCTACATTGGTGTAATTTAAGTAAACGTTACAATTGCAAATCAAGTTGTTGCATATGTTAGAAAATTAAATTAATATATTTAAACTTACCAATAAATAATAGGAATGATTGATAGAATTGAGAAGAATTTCCAAGAATTTACAATTATTTCAAACATTATTATTATATTTCATTAACAGTTCTTAACTTATTATAAAAGTTTTATATTACTTTAAAATATACCAGTTTAACTAAATGCTAATATATTTATTTAGTTATCAATTAGTTGTTATCAAGTTAAAGTAACATAAACACATTGATTATTAGCATATAAACAATATTTAAATAAATTTTAGTTAAAAGCATAAATACAGTTTGCCCTCATGTTGTTGAAATTTCAACTGGGCTGTAAAATATACAGTATGTGTTAACATCGAAAATGAGTCATTTTAAATGACTTAATATAAATTGAAATAACATTTTTCAATTAATTTCATGTTTTTGTAGTTTGTTTTTAAAATGAGACTCATTTGAAGTTTTCTAAACTTTATTTTTACGGGAAATAATATAAAATAACAATTCTTATTATAAAAAAGTTCATTTAGTATTCAAAGTGTTAAAATTGCTTACATTGATGCTACATTGATTATGCTGCACAAACATTTAAAAATGAATGTTAAAATAAAAATCTATTAAAATAATCTGTTATAAGCTATAACACAAATATTACAGTATGCATAGGGCTAACAGAAACTTATGTTACAATTGCAGTCTGTAAAATCGCCTGAGTTTTAACCGAGGGCTAACTGTATATTAGATTTTATTTCGAAATTTAAAAATGCACATCTTATATCATTTTGTTTATATTTGCATATATAAACATAGATAAAAAAAAGTTGCATATTTATTAATATAATAATATGAATATTTTTATTATAAACTTTCTATCAGTAAATTTCCAATTAATCAAACATTATTTGTATATAAAATAGTGTTTTCCTGTGACCAATGGCACATAACTTTGCTGTTTCTAATTATTATTGATAATCATCCAATACGTATCATTTGGTTTATAATTTAGTGTAATTTGAGATTACTAATTTAATTTCACTTATTGTGCACTTTTAATTATTTCACTATAAAATAATATATTAGTGATAATAAGTTGACAATTAATTTATTAGAAAAATTTAATTAAATAATAAATTTTATTTAATTGGATCTAAATAATAACTGTGTAGACAATTATCCTAAATATACAAATGTTAAAAACATATTTAAAATGTTTTATTACAAATGTGTTTCATACAGAATAGCAATAAATCAATCCCTAATTTTAATGCCAACGATCATAGATTTAGCACTCAGTAGAGTAGAATTTTTAAGCAAAAGTAAGGGAACTTCTGTTTGCGGACTTCGGGTAAACTTAAATCTCCGTATAATATGAGCCAAACCTAACTTCGCTTCCATTAATGCAAACCTCATTCCAATGCAATTTCGAGGACCGGAACCGAAGGGCAGATAAGTGTAGGGAATTATTTTGTGACGGTTTTCGGGTAGAAAGCGGTCGGGAATAAACTTTTCGGGATTTGGATAGAAATCTTCCGAGTGATGGATTGCATGAACAGGTATTTCTACGACTTGTCCCTTATATATAGTAATCCCAGTGTTTCCTAACTTGTAGTCTTGTGCAGCAATTTTTCCCAGTTTAACAACAGGTGAATGGAGTCTAAGAGTTTCAGCGATGACTGCATCCAAAAACGGGAGTTTTGTCAACACTTCGTAATCAATCTCTCCGTTTATGTCCATCGAAGACATCACTTCTTCGTACAGTTTTTGCTGAACGTCTGGATTGAGTGCCAATTCATAGGAACAGAAGGACAGAGTAGTGGCTGTGGTCTCATATCCGGCTACAAATACAAGAAATCCCTGCGCTATTATCTCATCCTCTGTTATGAATTTATTTGATGTCTTTATATTCAGTATTTTTTTCTCAATTTCTAATTCTTCTTCCCCTAAATATACAAAATAAATATAATTAATATAAATTCAAATTTTATAAATATTAAACAATTATATTTTAACGACAAACCCTGATTGATGTGATGAGATTCATGTCTATCGCTCTCATCGTTAATATTATCCTTTCCTTCCTTTGCTCTCATCATGAGATCAATCAAATCAATTGATTTTGTCTCTAATTTCTCCCTAACCCTCAATATTTGTCGTAAAATTGCAGAGAAAAAATCGACTGACTTTTCATTCATTAAAGTTTTGAATTTCAATCTGTTTAACACAAACTGAGGCAACAAAAGCATTGACATTAATTTCAAAACCGGAAATTTAAACACATTTCTTGCGTTCACTACAAATACATTGTTTGGGTCTTTGAAAGCATTGGTTTTTGTAGCAAAAGCGCAGTTTGCGATCACATCCATAGTTAGACAGCCGTACATATCCTTAACATCGATCTCATGTTTGTCTTTCACGTATTCACTCAATGTATTCATAAACCCCTCCACAGACTGTCTGACCAATGGATACATTCTCCGCATTTTGCCGGAAGTGAATACAGGAGTTGTTATGGATCGGACTCTCTTCCAGTCTTCCCCTTGAAGTTCAGTCAACATTTTCCCCACAATCGGATGTTTTTTGCTTTTAATTGTAGAGAAAAAATCGACTGACTTTTCATTCATTAAAGTTCTAAATTTCAATATATTTAACACAAACTGAGGCAATAAAAGCATAGAAATAAATTTCAAAAACGAAAATTTAAGCGCATTTCTTTCATGAACTACAAATGGATTGTTTGGGTCTTTGAAAGCATTAGTTTTTGTAGCGAAAGCGCAATTTGCGATCACATCCATAGTTAGACAGCCGTACATATCCTTAACATCGATCTCATGTTTGTCTTTCACGTATTCACTCAATGTATTCATAAACCCCTCCACAGACTGTCTCACCAATGGATACATTCTCCGCATTTTGCCGGAAGTGAATACAGGAGTTGTTATGGATCGGACTCTCTTCCAGTCTTCCCCTTGAAGTTCAGTCAACATTTTCCCCACAATCGGATGTTTTTTGCTTTTGGAAACTGAATTTCGGTCCACAAATATATGAAAATCTTTAACAAGAATTTGTTTAATGAGTTTCGGTTCCGCCACTTGTAATAGGGGTGTGTTTCCACTAAATATTCTGTATTTACAATAAAGTTTTTAATTAAAAACATTACTACATTTGACAAATATTATTTACCCATAAATGTTTCCATATTTTTGCTGCCATTTTGTTTCCATTTCTGGTTGTGATGTAAAGAAACGCTCCCATAGATTACCAAATATTGGCAATGGTCTAGGTCCCTTCAATCCAAGTTTTGTAAAATAATTAAAGTTCCTGGTCAAATACCTATATTGGTGTAATAAAAGTAAAATTTACAATTGTTAATTAAATTTTAGAATATGTTAAAAAATTATATGCTAAATTAATATATTCCAACTTACCAATAAATTATAGGCATGAGAGATAGAATTGAGAAGAATTTCCAAGAATTTGCAATTATGTCAATCATTGTTATTATATTTAATTAACAGTTATTTATTAAAATATAATTTTTATATTACTTTAAAATATACCAATTTAACACAAAATGAGAAAATTTCAATCTCACATAATGTACTTTACGATTAAATACATTTATTTAGTTATCACTTGATTGTTATCAATTAATAGTAACATAAACACCTTGATTGTTATCGTAAAAACAATTTTATAATAAATTTTAGATAGAATTTGTCGATATGAAGTATGTTTAAAAATAATTACAGTTTGCCCTTATGGTTTTGACATTTCATCTGGGCTGTAAAATATATGTGTTAACATTAAATTATGTTAACTTCGAAAATAACTGAGGAGTTAAATAAATTCCCCTGAATTAGTCCTGAATATAAATTGAAATAAAATTTTTGCCATTAATTTCATTTTTTTGTTGTTTGTCTCTAAAACTAGACTCATTTCTAAACTTTATTTTCACAGCAAATTACATAAAATAACAAATCATATTATAAAAATAGTTCATTTAGTATTCAAAGTGTTAAAATCTATTACATTGATGCTACATTGATTATGCTGCACAAACATTAAAAAATGAGTGTTAAAATCGAAATCTATTAAAATAATCTGTTATAACACATAGACATTAAAGTATGCAAAGGGCTAACAAAAGCTTATGTTAAAATTAAAGTCTGTAAAATCGTCTGTGTCAAAACCGAGGGCTAACTGTATATTAGATTTTATTTCGAAATTTAAAAATGCACATTTTAAATCATTTTGTTTATATTTGCATATATAAACATAGATAATAAAAGTTAAATATTTATTAATATAAATAATATGAATATCTTTATTATAAACTTTCTTTCAATAAATTTCCAATTAATTAAACATTATTTGTACTGTATATAAAGTTATGCTTTTCTGTGACCAATTTATCAAAATTACAAAACTTGGTAATTATTAGTGATAATCATCTCGACGTCGGGTTTATAATTTCATTTAATTTAATTACTAATAATTTAATTTTACTTATTGTGCACTTTTATTAATTACACTATAAAATAATGGTGAGGGATGAATCGCCCTGCCCGACCCTGCCTTACCCTGCACGACTGTGTCTAGGCGGTAGTTGGGTCGACCTAAATGCTGATCAGGCTAGGGTCGGGCAGTACATTTTTCCGTCAATTTGTAAATTTTTACGGAAAATAATTTTGTATGTTTTTTAATGAAAAATATAACATATAACACATTTAAACAAATTTTTTTAGCAAAAAAAACATAATTTGTATAAAAAAGCATAAAAAATAATTTTCCGTAAAAATTTACAAATTGACGAAAAAATGTACTGCCCGACCCTGCCCGACCATAGCCTGATCGGCATTTAGGTCGACCCAACTACCGCCTAGACACAGTCGTGCAAAGTAAGGCAGGGTCGGGCAGGGCGATTCATCCCTCACCTAAAATAATATATTATTGTCAATAATTTATTGATAATAAGTTGACAATTAATTTATTTTAAAAATTTCTTTTTTAACAAAATGATAAATTTTATTTGATTGTTTCTAAACAAAAATAGTCTAAAAAATTATCTTAAATATATAAATGATAAAAAACATATATCACAAAAGATATAAAACAAAAGATATAAAATGTTTTATTATAAATGTTTTTCATTCAGAACAGCAATAACTCAATCCCTAATTTTAATACCAATTATTACAGCTTTAACAGTATTTATGAAAGAAATTTTACGCAATATTAAGGGAACTTCTGTTTGCGGACTTCGGGTAAACTGAAACCTCCGTATAATATGAGCCAAACCTAACTTCGCTTCCATTAATGCAAACCTCATTCCAATGCAATTTCGAGGACCGGAACTGAAGGGCAGATAAGTGTAGGGAATTATTTTGTGACGATTTTCGGGTAAAAAGCGGTCGGGAATAAACATTTCGGGGTTTGGATAGTAGTTCTCCGAGTGATGAATAGCATGAACAGGTATTTCTACGACTTGTCCCTTAAAAACAGTAATCCCAGTGTTTCCCAACCGGTAGTCTTGTGCAGCAATTTTTCCTATTTTAACAAAAGGTGAATGGAGTCTAAGAGTCTCAGCGATGACTGCATCTAAAAACGGGAGTTTTATCAACACTTCGTAATCAATCTCTCCGTTTGTGTCCATCGAAGACATCACTTCTTCGTATAGTTTTTGCTGAACGTCTGGATTGAGTGCCAATTCATAGGAACAGAAGGACAGAGTAGTGGCTGTGGTTTCATATCCAGCGATAAACACAATAAATCCCTGTCCTATCATTTCATCCTCTGTTAAAAATTTATTTGATCGCTTTATACTTAATACTTTTTTCTCAATTTGTAATTCTTCTTTGCCTAAAATATAAGCAATAAATATAAACTAAATTTAAAATAAATTCAAACTTTATAAATATTAAGCGATTATATTTGTGACGACAAACCCTGATTGATGTGATGAGATTCATGTCTATCGCTCTCATCATTAATGCTATCCTTTCCTTCCTTTGCTCTCATCAGGAGATCAATCAAATCATGGAATTTTGTCTCTGATTTCTCCCTAACTCTCAATATTTGTCGTAACATTGAAGAGAAGAAGTCGACTGACTTTTCATTCATTAATGTTTTGAATTTCAATATATTTAACACAAACTGAGGCAACAAAAGCATTGACATTAATTTTAAAACCGGAACTTTAAACACATCCCTTCCGTTCACTACAAATGCATTGTTTGGGTCTTTGAAAGCATTGATTTTTGTAGCGAAAGCGCAGTTTGCGATCACATCCATAGTTAGACAGCCGTACATATCCTTAACGTTGACCTCATGTTTGTCTTTTGCGTATTCACTCAATGTATTCATAAACCCCTCCACAGACTGTCTGACCAATGGATACATTCTCCGCATTTTGCCGGAAGTGAATACAGGAGTGGTTATGGATCGGACTCTCTTCCAGTCCTCGCCCTGAAGTTCACCTAACATTTTGCCCACAATCGGGTGTTGTTTGCTTCGGGACACTGTTTTTCTGTCCGTAAATATATGGGAATCTTTAACTAGAATTTGTTTTATCAGTTCAGGTTCCGCCACTTGTAGTAAAGGTTTGTTGCCTTCAAATATTCTGCGTTTAAAATAATGAATGTTTTTATAATTTTTTAAAAATTTAGGATATTTTTTTACCCATAGATTTTGCCGTATTTTCGTTGCCATTTGAGTTCCAAATCGGGCAGTGGTGTCAACAAACGCTCCCATAGATTACCAACTATTGGCAATGGTCTAGGTCCGTTCAATCCACATTTTGTAAAATAATTAAAGTTCTTGGTAAAATACCTACATTGGTGTAATTTAAGTGAACGTTACAATTGCAAATTAAGTTGTTGTATATGTTAGAAAACTAAATAAACATATTCAAACTTACCAATAAATAATAGGAATTATTAATAGAATTGTGAAGAATTTCCAAAAATTTGCAATTATTTCAAACATTATTATTATATTTTATTAACAGTTCTTGACTTAGTATATCATGATATTCATTAGTTGTTATCAATTAAAAGTAACACAAACACCAAATTAATGCTAGTTAAATATATGTTTTAAGCATAAATACAGTTTGCCCTCATGGTGTTGAAATTGCATCTGGGCTGTAAAATATATGTGTTAACATCGAAAATGACTGAATGAAAATTGAAATAACATTTTTGCAATTAATTTCATGTTTTTGTAGTTTGTTTCTAAAATGAGACTCATTTCAAATTTTCTAAACTTTATTTTCTCAAAAAATAATATGAAACAACAATTTTTATTATAAAAAAGTTCATTTAGTATTCAAAGTGTTAAAATTGATTAAATTGATGTTACATTGCTTATTCTTGCTCAAGCATAAAAAAATGAGTGTTAAAATCGAAATCTATTAAAATAATCTGTTATAACACATAGACATTACAGTATGCATAGGGCTAACAGAAACTTATGGTAAAACTAAAGTCTGTAAAATCGTCTGTGTCAAAACCGAGGGCTAACTGTATATTAGATTTTATTTCGAAATTTAAAAATGCACATTTTAAATCATTTTGTTTATATTTGCATATATAAACATAGATAATAAAAGTTAAATATTTATTAATATAAATAATATGAATATCTTTATTATTACCTTTATTTGAATAACTTTTCAATTAATCAAACATTATTTGTAAATAATGTTATGCTTTTTTGTGACCAATGCATCAAAATTGCAAAACTTGGTAATCATTAGTGATAATCATTCTCACGTCTGGTTAATAATTTTGTTTAATTTAATTACTAATAATTTAATTTCATTTATTGTTCACTTTTATTTTTTTTATTATAAAATAATATATTATTAATAATACAATGATTTGCATTAAACACCAAATTTAAAGACACGCATCATTTGAAAAACACAATATTGATAATAAAATTAAAATAATTACTGCTGATTAAAAATGTTTAATTGTGACAACTCTTACAAACACACAAATACAAAATGTTATTTAATTAACAAACTTACGTTGATCAATTAATAACATG